GTCCACCACCCAGCCCCATCCACCACCCAGCCCCCAGTGACCTGTCCACCACCCAGCCCCCAGAGAACTGTCCACCACCCAGCCCCCCAGAGAACTGTCCACCGCCCAGTCTCACGCATACCCTTTCTGCCTCCCACCTGCTCACCCATCCACCACCCATCCACCACCCACCCACTCAGCCACCATCAACCCACACATTCATCCACCCATGCATCTGTCTGTGTCTGTTCGTCCATCCATCCATCCACCCATCCCTTCGTCTGTCCACCCACCCATCTGTCTGGCCATCCACCCATCCATTCGCCATGTTTGCTGTGACCTTGTGCATGAGAACAAGTCTCCTTCAGCTTGACCCAGCGGTCAAGGCTTGAGACCTTGTTGGTGACCCTGGTGGGGTCCTGACCCCAGAAGAAGGGGGCTGCACTGTGTGGTCACTGCTGGGCTTCTTGTTTGATTAGATGCAGGAGGCCCTCCCAGTGGGGGCCAGGCTCACCCTCAGAATGGGTCCCCTCAGTGGGCCCAGGCCCGCTCACCCTCAGGACAGGTCCCACTAAGGTGAAAGTGACTCTGGTGTTCAGACCTTGTGTGAGTGCATGGTTTGGGGTATAGATCTCACCCCTCCCCTCAGGTTTCCAGTGCTATGTCCTCCTGCGGGCCCAGTGCACCCCGCCTCCCGGGTGCCCTCCTTGGACTGTGTTCCTGGCTGTGTCCATGTACGGGGAGCAGAGCTCTGGGTAGGGCTCTCCTGCTCCTCCGCCCCCAACACCCAGGACCCTCAATGGTGGGACCTTATTCCCACCTCGAATAGAGAACCAGGAACATGTAGGGAGCCCAGACTTACACAGGCCAGAGAGGGTCAGGGACAGAGAGACTCCCAGCAGTGCCACATGCCTCCAAGATGTGGCCAGTGCTGTGACAGGGGACTAGTGACCCCAGGGAAAGGAGAGATGATGTGAACACCGGGTGGCTGGCGAGGCCTGGCCATACCAGTGACAGGAATGGTCACTGGGGGGGGGGCAGTGAGGGCCACAGCCCTGGTCATGGCTGAGGGTCCCCGAGGGGATGCAGGAGGGGACCAGAGGTAGGCGGTGTCACAGGGTGGGGCACAGCCCCCTCCTTCCCATTCCAGCTCCAGCTGCCATCCTTCCAGATGGAGGGGCCACCATCCTGAGTCACCGTCTTCCTGCCACCTAATCCAGTTAGGGCCAGGCCTGGGGACAGGAGTGACACAGCAGCATGAGCGGGCGGGTGTCAGAGCCAGCCAGCCAGCCGGCATCTTCCCTGATCTGAGTCTGCTTTTACCCTCGCAGGCCAGGTGCCCTGTAGTGACAGTGGGGCGGGGCGCAGGCTCCCCACTCCCATCCCCAGCCATCAGAGGTGCCCTGAGGGAGAACTCTGGTGGGCAAACGGGCTGACATTTGTCCTTGCAGTCCCCTCGGTTCATTGGACGACGGCAGAGCCTCATCAAGGATGCACGCAAAGAGCGTGAAGCGGCCGTGGTGGCCGCGGCGGCGGCCGGCTCCGAGTCCCAGGATCCCCTGGAGGCCATGGCCGTCCAGAAGGATGGTCAGGCCGTGCTGAACCTGCTCTTCTCCCTGAGGGGCTCCAAGCCCACACCACTGTCCCGAGTGGTGAAGGTGTTTGAGGTGAGGAGTGAAGATTGGCCGCTGTCAAGGAGAGCACACACGCACGCTGGCCATGTGTGTGCACAGATTTAAACACATGATCCGTGGGCACATGTACGCATGCACACAAGAGCCATGTGAACATGCAGGTATGCAGACACGACCCATGTGAACACGCGTGCACACACCCTCTGTGTCAGCGTGCATCCACGCACACATCATCTGTGTGAACACACACACACACAATCTGTGTTAACACATGCACATGGGCTGTATCCACATGCACACACATCATCTGGGCATCGTACATGTCAGCACACAGACACACACGTTCTATGAGGACAAAGCATGATCATGCCACATGGGAGAATGTTTGAAGTGCACATACCAGGCATGAGTGCTGTACACAGATGTGGCACATGTGTGAACATGCATGGACACACAATGTGTTCACACACATGCCTCCACAGGCATGTGTATCAATCACGTCATGTGTGCAAATATCCACGTGCCGTGTGTGCACATGTCTGGATGCTCACACACCTCACGTTTTCACGTACCTGCTGTTGTTACGTGCCATCTGGTCAGGACTGACTCCGAGCCCGCTCTACAGTGGGTCTTGAGAGGCAGTGACTAGAGCAGGAGGAGATTGCCCTTCTTTCTTCCACAGAGCAGCTGGTGGATTCGAACCGCTCGCCTGTGGGTTGCCAGCATTGCTCCTTGCACTAAGGCACCAGAGCTCCTAGCATATATGCACCATGTATTCTTACGTGTGTGTGGACGTGCACGCCGGTGCCATGTGTGCACACTGTGGTCACAGGCGCTCACATCTGCAGGCACAGACGTGCAGGACTCTGTCCACACCACAGGCAGTGTGGACCCTGCTCAATCACACAGGCTTCAGGTCTGCGTGCCAGGAGCCCTGGGGTGACCTGAGGGCCACTCACCACACCACTTGGCCTCAAGAACACTCTGGGTCCCTGCACCAGAACAGGTCCACAAGGTCCCCACCTCCCACCCAGTGACTGTCCCTCAGGCTCTTTCTGCTTACCCCTGCCCATCACATGGGGGCGGCAGGGCAGCTGGAAGCAGAGTGCAGAAGGCTAGGGGGCTGCTCCCTGAGCAAGCCTGGGGCTGCCTGCCGAGGACTGCCTTGAGGACTGCGTTAGCTGTTCCGGCCACACCGGGTGGGTGTGGGGAACTGACCGGTGGACGCTCTCAAATGACGTCAGAACAGACCCTCGCCTGCTCACTGCTGGTCCCCCAGCGGGAGGGGCTGTCCAAGGAGGTGGACTTGCTGCTGCACGAGTGTCCTGACTGTGGGGACATGGCTGTACCAGCTCCCTCACATGGCTGCACTGCCTGCTCTGGGCCTGGGCTGTGGGGTCCTGAACCTCCCGACTACTCCCCAGGCTGGGCCAGGGGGACAGTGAGCCCACATGAAGCCACCAAGGCTGGGGGACACACCCAGGTGTGGCTTGACGACATGCGGATATCATGAGAGGGTCATGGTGGCATTCCCTGATGAGACCAACCAGAGCCCCCAGGGTGGTGGGAGGCTGGTGGCACGGCTGGCCCACGTGACCCTGGTCCTGGAGAGTATTCGGGTGTGGCCAGCTTCTCCAGCCCAAGGAAGGCTTCATCATCCTTGCTTCTCTCTGACGCCCTCCTCCAAAGACCTTTGAAGCCAGAATCCAACACCTGGAGACAAGGCCGGCTGCAGAGCCTCGGGGCAGGGACCCCCACCTGGAGTACCTCATCCGCTGTGAGGTGCCCCGTGCCGACCTGGCTGCCCTGCTCAGCTCTGTGCGCCGAGTGTCCGAGGACCTACGGGGTGTCAAGGAAGACAAGGGTGAGGCCAGGCTATGTCCAAGGATGATCGCGGGCCGAGGGCAGAAGTGCCTACACGGGGCCCTCCCCTCTTTGGTACCCAGCCACCCCGGCCCTGGGCCCCTTACCTCTTCACCTCCTTACCTCTTGGGGAGACGGACTTGACATCTTCCTTCCCCCCTTTCTCTTTGAAGTCCCCTGGTTCCCGAGGAAAGTCTCTGAACTGGACCAGTGCCACCACCTGGTGACCAAGTTTGATCCAGACCTGGACTTGGACCACCCGGTGAGCGGGAAGCTGACCAGGAGTCCCACGTCCACGGGGGGGGGGGGCGTGGGGGTGGGGAGACCCGCCTCCTGCTGCCTGATGCACTGATGACACTGCTGAGGTCACTCCAGGCACCCAGCTGTGTCAGCAGCTGGAGGGCTGGGGGCTGGGACGAGGAGGAGATAAGGAGATTCCCTGACCTGTCCCCCTCGTGTCCCCAGGGCTTCTCTGACCAGGAGTACAGGCAGCGCAGGAAGCACATCGCTGAGATAGCGTTCCAGTACAGGCAGTAAGTGCTGCCCTCCACCCTGACCCTGACCCCTGACCGCCGACCCCTACCCTGACCCCTGACCATCCCCTGACTGCTGGCCCTCCCTCCACCCTGACCCTGACCCCTGACCATCCCCTGACTACTGGCCCTCCACCCTGACCACCGACCCCCATCCTCACCCCTGACCATCCCCGGACTGCTG